TGACTTATTAAGTTATTGTGTAATGGGTGTTTTTTTCGTAAAACGAAGAGATAAAGAAACTTCTTTTCCTGAAAACAGTGCAAAATATAAAAATTTTAAAAATCAATAAGTAGTAATTTTTTATTTAAACAACTAAAAAAACTTCTTTTATAATAAGACTTTTTTAGTTTACATTCTCTAAGACAAAGATCATAATTCTTACTGTTGCATCTTGTAGATAAAATTATTTTAGAAAGGATGTGATATTGTTTGAAATCCGAATTCTAATTGACTAAATTCAGCGTTAAATGTTGGAATGCAAATATCATGTCACCAAAAACCAAGAAACTCGTAAATTTGTTTTACGATTCTGGAGAAAATGTCAAGTAAATGAAGCTCCTAAAGTGGTTTTCGTGCTTTGTTAAATGATATTAGATGTTATTATAAAATCAAATATTAACAAAGTAAGCACTTGAAAGGAGTGTTTTGACATTGTATAAACCACAAAGTGCTTTTTATTTTTCTTGAATAAATGAAAAAAATTTTTTTTTAAAGAAATCGATTTTTAATTTTATGAAAAAGCGATGACCTAGAAATGCAAATATGCGCCAGAGTGAAAGCATTTACTTACGCTATGGCGTCAATCATATCCAACCCCATTTCGACCGTGCAATGGGCGTGATCCGGCCTGGCTTCCGGTAAACCGGAAACGCAATAGTAGCAGTCTCCCAGTAGTTTAATCCTCAAACAGTGATGTTCAGCAGCCAAACGGTCAAATCTGAAACAATCACTCGACTTTTAGCCCAGAATCAGCATCTTCGAGATCAATTTTCCCCATTAAATTGTAATTAAAAGCCGTGTACTACAAAATAACCATCCCGTGTTTTTCACGAAGCGATTAATTTTCAGGTGGATGGAAAATTCTTTGTTCTAAATTTAGACGCCACCGATGTTTCGTTCCCTCTTTGATGGCAGCGCTGTTGCCGGGGTTTATACAATTTTTGCTTCATTCATAATTCAGTGCACGGATAGATGTATAAATATCGTTAAAAATAAGTGGGGCTAAACGACGTGATTTGGGACAAATTTCAAGATACTTGCCTCGCGAACAGCTCGTTGAGGATTCGGACCAGTTCTTCGGCGGTGCATTGGTCGGAGAGGGTCGTGAAACCGCAAATGTCAGCGAAGAGAATGCTGGAAATGCACACAAAACACTCTTTTTAATCTTATAAAATATTTGATAAAAAATAAATTGATGATCTATGAATTAAATGCAATTTTGCAAGTTTACCTTTAATGTTTTATATTAAAAATTTTAGTTTTGGTTTCGGTGGTATTTTACTCGGTTAAAGCGTGCCAGACAGGTTTCAAATTTACAAAATTGTTTTTCAATTAAATAGCGCACTGAAATTTCTATTTTCCACTTGAAACAAAAATATTTTGTATAATGAATCCTCTAAAGTTGTAATATGAAACACAAAAATTTGCAAATGTTCATTACGTTTTATCTCTATTTGAATTAATTTTGACAATTGTATATTTACGTTATTTAAACTAAAAGAACTTCTTTTATCATAATACTTTTTTAGTTTACATTCTCTAAGACAAAGATCATATTATTTTCTAATTCAAACATCACATTTTTATCGTTTTTCTTATCACTTGCACGTTTTTTTCGAAGTTGTTCATGTTATGTTATAGTGTTTTAACGAAACATCTAATAATGTCACCTTTATACCAAGTGGAACTAAACGTTTTTGCTTAAACTATTTACTTCTTGGAAAAACTAATTAATGAATGAGTACTATAAAAATGTGATGTTTTTCGAAAGTTCTAAAAAAAAAAAATTTTTAATGGCAACCCACTATAAAACTATTTTTCTCGTGAAGGTTATGATCTAATAATTACAACTATCTACTTTATAATTAATTTTTTCAAAACTCTCTTTTTAAATTTTGGCAAAAAATCGTATATCTCAAAAACAAAACTTTGTTCTTAAAATACAATCACATTTTTATATAACTCTAATTTATAATAATTAAATATTTCGTATAATAAATCCTCTAAAGTTGCAATATCACAAACAATAATTTGCCAATCTAAGTTACGTTTTATTTCTATTTGAATTAATTTTTCAACTTAATTGCAAAGACGAAGGCCTCTTTAATCAAAAATTAAAGTGAACTTAGGTATTTCTGAATTTTTTGTCAATACATTTAATGAAAATTGAAGTAAAATTTGAATCCAAACAAATGTAGTGAATAATTTGTTAAATACAAGTGGTCGGATACTTTGATTTTTGATGTTTTGTAATTAAAAACTTTGAATTTAGAGAGAAACAACAAAACAAAAATTTCAGAAAAATCAAGAAACCGAAACAGGAATGAAAAACACCCAATGCTTTGAAAAACCAAAACCTTCTAAAGAAATAATTAAATATAAAAAGCAAAAAAAGAAAGTTTGCTTTAAAACACAACAAAATTAAGGAAACGAAAATTGGAAGAAAATACAAAAAAAGAAAAAAAAAATACAGACTTATTAAGTTATTATGTAATTTTGATAAAAAAAGAAAAATGGGTGTTTTTTTCGTAAAATGAAGAGATATAAAAAAACTTCTTTTCTTGAAAACAGTGAAAATATAAAAATTTTAAAATTAAATAGTAGTTTTTTATTTAAACAACTAAAAGAACTTATGTTATAGTGCTTTAACAAAACATTTAATAATGTCACCTTTATACCAAGTGGAACTAAACGTTATTTGCTTAAACTATTTACTTTTTGGAAAAACTAATTAATGAATGAGTACTATAAAATGTCATGTTTTTCGAAAGTTCAAAAAAAATATTTTTTTTTAAATGACAACCCACTATAAAACAATTTTTCTCATAAAGGTTATAATCTAAAGATTACTGCTATCGACTTTATATTTGATTTTTTCAAAATTTTCTTTTTAAATTTTGACAAAAAATGGTATAACTCAAAATCAAAACTTCTCAAAATACAATCACATTTTTTATATTACTCTAATTTATAATAATTAAATATTTTGTATAATGAATCCTCTAAAGTTGCAATATCAAAAACAATAATTTGCAAATGCTTGTTACGTTTTATCTCTATTTGAATTAATTGTCACAAGCGTATATTTTTATCATTTAATGTTGCCAACTTAATTGCAAAGACGAAGGCCTCTTTAATCAAAAATTCTTCGTCAAGATATTTAATGAAAAATAAAGTAAAATTTAAATCAAAACAAATGTAGTGAATAATTTGTTAAATACAAGTGTCCAGATACTTTGATTTTTGATGTTTTGTAATTAAAAACTTTGAATTTAGAGAAAAACGACAACACAAAAATTTAAGAAAAATTAAGAAACCGAAACAAGAATGAAAAACACTCCAATGCTTTGAAAAACCAAAACCTTCTAAAGAAATAATAAAAAAAGATAAAATTTACTTTAAAACACAACAAAATTAAGGAAACAAAAATAGAAAAAAAATACAGAGAAAAACACTTATGATTTATCAAGTTATTATGTAATTTTGATACAAAAAAGGAAAATGAGTGTTTTTTTCGTAAAATGAAGAACTTCTTTTCTTGAAACTAGTGCAAAATATAAAAATTTTAAAAATTAAGAGTAATTTTTTATTTAAACAACTAAAAGAACTTCTTTATACTTTTTTAGTTTATATTCTCTAAGACAAAAATTATATTATTTTCTAATTTCTGATAAACATCAAATTTTCATCGTTTTTTTATCACTTGCACGTTTTTTTCGAAATTGTTCATGTTATGTTATAGGGTTTGAACGAAACATTTAATAAAGTCACTTTTATACCAAGCGAACAAAAAGTGTGGAACTAAACGTTTTTTTGCTTAAACTATTTAGGTACTTTTTGGAAAAACTAATTAATGAATGAGTACTATAAAAATGTGATGTTTTTCAAAAGTTCAAAAAAAGTTAATTTTTTTATATGGCAACCCACTATTAAACTATTTTCCCCATGAAAGTTATGGTCTAATGATTACAACTATCAACTTAATATTTAATTTTTTCAAAATTTTCTTTTTAAAGAAACTCAAAAACAAAACTTTGTTCTCAAAATACAATCACATTTTTTATATAATTATTATTTTCTAGAGGCAAATGCTCGGTTCCATACTTTATACGAATTAGCTCAATTTGAACTACTTAATCAAATATTCAAAATGATTTAATTTCGAATTAATTTCATCGTATGAGCTGATTGATCATTAACTACATTCAAAGCAAAAACCAGAAATCACACCACACACTTTACCTAATTATTCATAAATGGGTTACACTGTGCCTAGTTTATTCCCCAATAAACATAATAATTCAGTTGTATTAAATTTTACCAAGAACATAAAAAAAATTTAGTAACAAAGAATGCAACTTTTCTTAATCAACGTGACATGCCGTCATTAATTAAGTTTATTCACAATCACTCTATAAAGTGACTTTATTGCACACTTTTGATGCGTATAAAGTACCACTTTATCCACTAGTGGAATAAAGTAACTTTATTACACTATTAGTAACCAGCGCACCGCGTGACGTTTAAATGTCAGTTAAATTTTTAATTAAGTTTGGAATAATTTAGGCCTGTGATTGTGGATGAAACGTTATATTGCAGTCGTGTGTTAGTCGCGTTTTATCCACGGTTAAACAGTCTCGCGTGGATAAAACGCTATCTAACACACTCTTACAATAAATAACTATTATTTAACACACGAAACAGGTGAAGTTTTATCGATTCCAAATATAAAACTTGACAAATAAGAAGAGAGAAATGCATTCATATCTCACCTGACATTCTCATGCCTTTGAATGTATATTTTATGAAATTGGGCCTCTTTCGGTTGTCCGGCAATATCCGCCTTCATTTCCATGGCGACATGCCTCGGTAATACTGACAGAAGGAGACGTTCCTATTCAAAATTTAATCATTAAAAATATGGAGGAAAAAGTTGTTTACATCAATCGTTAAAAGTTTGTTGAATCCCTGTTAGGTGGGGTGAGCAAGATTCCGGTTAATCACCGGATTTGGGTGTTAAGGCTTCCGGAGCTGTACAAAGTTCCGGTCTCTGCTAATTGACGGCTAAATTGAAAACTGGAATTTAAAGTGCGTCCATTATTTTATTTTTTTCATTTCAAGTTATCTCGCATGAATTGCGAAAGTACGGACCTGGAAGTGATGCAATTGAATTATTGCAGCGGGAGTGTGAGCAAATTTGATTTTTTCGAATGGTAAATGAAATTAGCTTTTAACCAATTCTGCGTTAAAATAAATTTTAAGAATTGAGTTGGAATATTTGAGTTTGTGATTCTTTTCAAGATTAAGGTTGAACTATACTGGGAAGTAATGTGTTTTTGGCACACAAGGTGGCGCTATTTTTAGGGCCGTAGCCGACAACCCAACATACACTTGGATCCAGTCAAACAAAATTGGTTCATTTCTTCGTTTCTTTGTGATATACCAGTTTTTCATACTAGAACCAACAATTTTTTCAGATGAATAATTATCTACTATTTAGTGTTATATTCTCTATAATTGTCATCTTTTTGACTATTCCATTTTACCTTTCAACTTGTCATTTTATTTGATACAAATTAGTCAAAACAATAAAAGTATAATTAAGTATTAGTGGAAAAAGGTATTTTTTATTGCAACCATCCGAGAAGGGTAATTTTGTACGTCTCCACTAAGAAATGTTTAATTTTTGACAATGAATAATAAAAAAAAATGTAATTTATAAATAACCTCGTTTTTTGATTGTCTTTTGACATTTTTTTTATTTGTCCATTTTTAATTTTTTACATTCTGAATTTGTGCAATTGAATGAAAATTTTTTGATATTTTACTTAAAAAAACAAAGTTACGTTGCTTTGTTAAAAAGAAAAGTTTTAATCTCAAAACTTTACTATCAACTATATAATTTATCTAGAAATTAAACTCTTCGCTTTAATTTATATAAAAAGACGCTTGCTAAACTAATTTGAAACATTAAATATTCACTTTGTGTCCGTCTAAGCTTTATACGAAATACTGAAAACTAAATAACTCTCTTATTTACTGAAAGTGTAGACACAAGGATTTTTTTAACTGGTTTTGGGTTATAAAATAATCCAAAAATGACAAAACGCACAAATCTCTTTGTAGAAAATTATTGTTTTAATTTCTGATAAATGGGTTGATAAAAACTCAGGATTATTTTAAAATAGGCTTTATTCTTCGACATTGTCAAAATTTACGGTTTTTCTCCCGTGTGTTTTGACAACTATTTGGCATTTCTCAATACGATTGTTCTGTGATTTTTTTGGGAGTGATTTTTGCTTTTTTTTCTCTGTCAAAATTAGGGAAACCCGGCAAAATAGCTCCTGAACCAACTTTCTCTTTTTTCCTGGAAATATATAAAGGAACCTTGGAATTAAGGCTTACACTTTTATTTATTTCCATTATAAATTATATTTTATGAGCTGTTTTTTTAGAACAAAGTAATCTAGTTACGAATTTATAAAATTATATTTAAATTTTTAACAAAATTGCTTTTTTCCCGATTCAAAATATTGATAGTATGCAAATGTAAATCCATCTTGTCACATACATTTCACTAATATTAGAAATTTAATTTAACAAGAGGATATCCATCAGAAGGTGCGAAACTAAATTAAAAAAACTAATACTTGGTATTTGTATTTTTCTCAATTTTAAAATAATTAATTTTGGTTTGTTTCTTTTAATTTCGATGACTCAAAATAGAAAGTAAATAGATGGTGACGCTACAATGATAGTTATAATAAAATGAATCGGAACAAAGAAAAAATATATTACATAATTTATTAAAAATTATTATTTGAAATTTTTGCAATTTTTAGTCTTTTTACAGAAAATTACAAAATCACAGTTCTCAAACTAGCCAGTTCCAAAATGTACCACCAGAAAAATTTGTCGCTTGTCTACAGACGAAAAGTCGTTAAAACAAGTTTTCAAATGAAAAAAAGAAAAATTGAATTTTTAAGAAATACAGTAAACATTTTTTTTACAATTGGATGTTGTCCCTGAATTAAAAAAGTACCTCATACACACAGTAACAGAGTTTTTATCTCATTTTGACTATTTGTAATCGATTGTAAAATTCAATAGTTTGTATTTTTTTATGAAAAAACGCATTATTTAAATTGCATGAAAAAAATACACTAACATAAGTAGGTAATCTACAATACACCAAAAATAAATCAAAAAATTCATCCGTACAGTTTTTTTATAAAAAAATAAAATGGCCAAATTTGGAGGTTTTTTTAAATTTATTTTTAAACGGCACGGACAAAAAATTTCAAATTAATATATGATGCTGCTAAGGCCATCAATTTTTTCAGAATTTTTAAACAACGATTTAATTTTTTATTCAGTATAGTTCAACCTTAAGTGTCGAGGGATCCTCTTTAATTAAAGCCAGCTGCGAGACGAGTCCCTTATGATTTATAAACTAGATCGAAACTAAGGGCTAGCATTTTGATTCGAAATAAATTGTAATAAAGCTACCTGTTGCTGGTTTTCCCGTTGGATTTTTAGTCGAGCTTCTATACATTGTCTCGTTTCTAAAAAAGCTTTACGTTGCGCCACTTCTCGAGGATAATGGGTACAAACACCGGCGACGTTTCCGCAGAGCAGAATCACAAAGCAGCTGCTGATCTGAAAAAATCAAACGACGCTTGTTACAACTTGTTTAATTATTTCAACTCCATTGTACTAAAACACAATACATTTTTATCTAGTTCTAACTGCTGTTTTAAATTCACAACATTCTGAAATTCGAGCTTTGTTGCTTCAAATTAACCGAAATTGTTTTATCGAGTTCTAAAACCGAGCTTGTAAACAAGCAGCTACTTTTTTCAAGTTTGTTGCAATTATTTTCATAAAAAATGTTTTGTGAGTTTAGTGACTTACAATAAAATTTCTAAATCAGCAGTAAAGCAAGATTATGTTAATAAAAAACTTTAATACAATAATGCAAAGAAAAAATTAAAATTATGGTCAGATGTTAAATCAAAATTGTTGATGTTATTAATCGAATTAATTTTATTTAATACATATTTAAAAAAATCAAACTTAATTTACCAATTTTTCAGCATTGTTTATATTCTAAAGTTATTAAATTAAGCAAAAAAATTTTGCTTTATTCTGAAAAAATCTTTTAATGTTTAAGTTATTCAGCAAAAAACACTTCAAATTCATAGAAAAAAAGCACAAATAACACATTTCCGGTTATAATTTTGCAACTTTTATCTTTGTTTTCGTATTTTTTTGTGAATTTAGTAAGTTGCTTGCTTATTCTGTTGAAAAGCAAAAAAACGTATTTCAAACTTAATTTACCAATTTTTCAGCATTTTTTGTGAAAAATTTCACACATTTTTTAAATTTTTGACTAAAAAATATTCTAAATTTATTAAATTAAGCAAATAAATAAAGTTTGCTTTATTTTGAAAAAAATCTTTTTAATGTTTATGTTTTTCAGCAAAAAACACTTTAAATTCATAGAAAAAAAGTACAAATAACGCATTTCCAGTTATGATTTTGCAACTTTTATCTTTTTTTTCGTAARTTTTTGTGAATTTAGTAAGTTGCTTGCTTAAATTTATTAAGCAAAAAAAATTCAATTATGTTTTGTGAGTTTAGTGACTTCGAATAAAATTTCGAAGTCAACAGTAAAGCAAGATTCTGTTAATAAAAAACTTTAATACAATATTACAAAAAAAAACATAAATGATAAAATAAACCAAAAAAAAGTTATTAAAATTATGGTCAGATCTTAAATCAAACTTGTTACTGTTATTAATCGAATTAATTTTATTTAATACATATTAAAAAAAATCAAACTTAATTTACCAAATTTTTCAGCATAGTTTGTGCAAAATTTCACACAAAAAATGTTTGCATTATTTTGAAAATTTTTTTTAATGTTTAAGTTTTTCAGCAAAGAACTTCAAATTTATAGAAAAAAAGCACAAATAAAGCATTTCCAGTTACGATTTTGCAACTTTTATCTTTGTTTTGTTTTTTTTTTTGAATTTACTAAATTGCTTGCTGAAAAGTGGATTCTATTGAAATTAGCAAATAAACGTGTTTTAAACTTAATTTGCAAATTTTTCTGCATTGTTTGTGCAAAATTTCACAAATTTTTTAAATTTTTGAGTGAAAAATATTATAAATTTATTAAATTAATGAAAATTTTTTTTTGCTTTATATTGAAAAAATCTTTTTAATGTTTAAGTTTGTCAGCAAAAAACACTTTAAATTCATAGAAAAAAAGCACAAATAACGCATTTCCAGTTATGATTTTGCAATTTTTATCTTTGTTTTAGTATTTTTTTGTGAATTTACTAAGTTGCTTGCTGATTCTATTGATATAATAATTTTCCAGCATTGTTTGAGCAAAATTTCACACATTTTTTAAATTTGTGACTAAAAAATACTTTAAATTTATTAAATTAAGCAAAAAAAATTTTTTTCAATAATTTTCATAAAAAATGTTTTGTGAGTTTAGTGACTTAGAATAAAATTTCTAAGTCAACAGTAAAGCAAGATTTTTTTAATAAAAAACTAACACAATAATACAAAAAAAACATAAATAATAAATGATAAAATAAACCAAATGACTTTACAAAAAAGTTTGCAAAACTATGGTCAGATGTTAAATCAATATTGTCACTATTATTAATCGAATTATTTTTTTTTAATACATAGTAAAAAATAGTGTTTAACTCCTGAGAATAGCAACTAGTGTTTTTTGACAAGTACGACTCATTTTTGTTTGTATTTAATAAAAGATTGTGTTTTATTCATTATTAGTCTAATGTTCTTGCTTTTAGGTCAGCAAAAGCTCTCAAAAAAAAATAATTTCTGATTAATTCATAATTTTCTTTTCCTCAACCTAGATTTGCTTGGATTTTTCCAGACGGCCAAAAACCAAGATTTCGATAAATCATACTCACATCTGTGATGGCGTACAAATGTCCCACATAAACAAGTAAAATAACTTGGGTCAGAGCCAAAACGGTGCCAGCTAAAAGGGCGTCTTTGAGACGAATTGGCATCAAAGCGTAGGTTAAGTATGTGGTAGCTAGCGAAAAAGTGGGCCCTAATAACGGCCGTTCGGTCTCGGAAAAAAACGAAATACATATCTGAAAAAAAAATCAAAAATAAATTTTGAAAACCAATATTCTTAATGGTTTCTTGTACAAATTAATTTTTTTTGGATCTTATTACAAGTGGTGGATGCGCCGGGCTAGAAAAACCACGTTAAATTTTAGTAAAGAAATTCTACTTAAATGTGTTTTTTCGAAAGTGTAGCAGTTAATCTTTTCTGAAACATTTTGGTCCAGCTTTAACCACACGATAATCCATCTTCCACACACAACAAATATTGATTTTCCTAAACTGTGTCTAGAACTTTGTCAAGTAAGTTCTTATAAACCCAAGATTGTTAAACATGTTAAAGAAACCATTAAGAAACTTTTAATTAAAATAGACTCCTTTTAACCAATTTATCTTCCTGGAAAACATAATTACTAATCTGAAATAGTGAAATTCTTACCTCTAACGTAAGAAATGTGACTAGAATAAAGTAGGAAATAATGATCAAGTACACCTCGTTCATCGCAGGCTTTGAGAGAACCGCCAAAAGAACTAGAAAAGAATCGTAGTTTCTAATTACGACTCTAATTAGTTTCAAAGACTTACCTCCATAAATTGCAATACAACAGCCTGACGTGCAAATGAGTACAAGTGATTTGTCTAATTGAAATGAGTGTTCTTGAGGTGGATTTGCTTCTGAGTGATGTACCATTATGATATCTGTGGCGGCAAAAAGAAGAAAGCCGACGCATAACAAGAGTAGAAGAGATATCAAATTCGTCATATTGCTTTGATTCATTTTTAGGAAATATCGCTGGTATAACATTTCAACCTGAAACAAAAATTGATTTAAATTGTAAATTTTTGATTTGTTTTTGTTTAGGTGTTTTATAAAAAATATTCGAACAAAAGAACACCTATAATTTTTCAAGAATTTTCCTTGTTTATCTGACTTCACTAGCAAATACCACAAACCGGTAAAAGCTTTAACTAAATCTTTAGTTTAGTTTAAAAAAATTAAAGACAAAAAGGTGTATCAATTGTAGGAGAATTTTGCTTTAT